ATCCTTATGGGTAGTCACAAGGAGGATGAAATCCTGAGAGCTCGATGTAAATTCAGAGCTAATATTTTAAAGAAAAAACAGACCACTTTAAGGTTCCATTATAATAATTTATTTCAGAAGAGCACTTTTAAAGGACTCTAGATCATCAGATTGCACTTCAAAAGATGAAACGAAGTCTTATCTGATGATCCAGAGTCCTTTAAAAGTGCTCTGGTGAAATAAATTATTATAATGGAACATTAATATGGTCTGTTTTTTCTTATATATATATATATATATATATATATATATATTTTCAAACATATATTGTTAAATATAGCAGACAATGTATGTCTATTATGTTTTTTTCATGAGCTGTTCGAAAAAACGTATGCCCGCTTTAAATTCGTGAGAAAATAAAGACAAAAATTGTGCAACATTTTTTTATTATGCTGTTCTTTGATCTAAGTTTTCGGCTCCCATAACCCATCTTCAGAGTGGTTATATGGACATTTAAACAAAGAGATTCACCATCAAAGATGATATTCTGTTATGTTGACAGCGATTTTTGTCATTATTTTCTCCAGAAATTAAATCAATTTTACGAAGTTGAAAACGGTTCATGATCAAACATAATAGACATTCGTTGTCTGTAATATTTAACATGATATATTTGAATAATGACCTGCTGTCCCAATGGACTACACACACACACACACACACACACATATATATATATATTTGTGTATTTAGGCAGCAATCCTTGTCATGCACATTTCATTGAATACGATAGACAAGGTGATTTGATTTAGTTTTTTATACAATTTCACATACGATCTAATATTTTATTTTATTTTCGGCTGATAAATTAAAAATTTTGCACGTAGATGATGATATTGTATTAGTGTTTTCAAAATTCGTAAATAATTATATAGGCCATACTACAACATGTTTGACACGCAGACTCACTCTACACCTTTCTGACCATAGCTCAATTAGATCTCATTTAAATATTCATGGAGACCTACCGGACACTAGCCGTAACATACTTGTTGACAGCACTAATATAATAGCATCATCTACATGCAAAAAAACATACGTACATCAAATTATTTCTTATTTAACAGTTAAAATATTTAATACTTGAAAATGGTTAAATGTATAGCCGAAAGCGCTCGGACAAAAAGAACATTCGGACAGTTTTTATATAATTTATCATCCAAAAAGAAAAAAAAGACATTATTAGATAGAATGTGATAATGTATAAAAAAAACTAAATAAAATCATCTTGTCTGTCGTATTCAATGAAATGTGCATATATATATATATATATGTGTATGTGTGTGTGTGTGTGTGTGTGTGTGTGCATTAATGTGTGCTTGTGTGAATATGAATATAACATCGACATACACATATAGAAGCACACACTCAAACCGAAGATTTTAAAGATGTTCGTATTGATGTTGACGTCTATGCGCTATGTAGAATGTGGCTTATTCAACGAACTGACAACGCTTCAGTTTGCAGATTAGACTCTTGCCAAGGAAGGAAACTTATAAATGGTGGCAAAATTCGCTGAAAGCTTTACGTGAGTGAGAAACACGGGCGACAAGATAATGTGGGATATCGGAGGAATTTGCCAGTGGACACGACCAGTAATTTATTCATGGCAAACGGGAGAGGCAAATTATTCTGTTTTTGCAACGTGAATATTTTAAATATGAAAATTTGAAGAAATTCCTCATGCGCTTATATTCAAATGACTCTGTTCTATATATCTATCTATCTTCATCTTTCGCTCACCCGCTCTATTCATATCTATCTATCTATCTATCTATCTATCTATCTATCTATCTATGTATGTCAGTTTAATGATTATCTATCGATCTATCTATCTATGTCAGTTTAAGGATTATCTATCTATCTATCTATCTATCTATCTATCTATGCAGTTTAATGATTATGTATGTATCTATCTATCTATGTCAGTTTATTGATTATCTATCTATGTCAGTTTAATGATTATCTATCTATCTATCTATCTATCTATGTCAGTTTAATGATTATGTATATATCTATCTATCTATCTATCTATCTATCTATGTGGTTTTATTGATTATCTATCTATGTCTGCTTAATTATTATCTATCTATCTATCTATCTATCTATCTATCTATCTATCTATCTATGCCAGATTGATTATCTATCTATCTGTGTGTAATAACCATAATAAGAGAATTTAACATTTGAAACCTTTTCCTTTCGCCACAATATATTGAAAGAAATAATCCCTTTGCGATATCAAATGTCTTTATGTGTGACAGGTTGTATTTCGAATGAGTTTGCCATCTTTTGAATCTATTAACTTGTTCTTAATTGCCTATTATGATGCACAATGGAAATAAACACACACACACATTTAACTGTCTCTCTCCCCCCCCATATATATATATATATATATATATATATATATATATATATATATATATGTGTGTGTGTGTGTGTGTGTGTGTGTGTGTGTGTATTGTGTATTCAGGTAGCAGTGCTTCCTTTTACAAGTTTTATTAAAGACAACAGATAAGGTACTGCGATTAAGCTTCTTTTTTTTTTTTAAGCGTTTTCCTCCAAGCAAGGCGGGAAGCCAACTAGGACGCAAGGGGTTACAGAAGATTTGGAGCAAGATCAGATAGGATGAGGAGAAGGGTAGATCAAGGCAACTGGAGATGTCGATTGACATTACATTTGAATGGTTGGAGATTATAGCTCTCAGGGAAACTGGAATAGGGAAGGAAGTTCCACAGGCGAGAGGTGCGAGACATGAACCTATTGGAGTAGAAGTGACGGCTACATATAGGAGTTTAGACAGTGAAATGGTGAGAGCGGGATGCCAGCCTCGCAGGGTGCTTGAATTCATGAAGTCTGGGAACCAGTGAATGCAGCTCCTCGGAACAATTACCTTGAAAGTATTTGTAAAACACACAGAGAGAGGCGACGGCGCATCTGTGAGAGAGCGACTGTAGACGAGATGCCAGAACAGGGCCAATTATATTGCATATCCACCTTTGGATCTTATCAAGAAGCTCGAGGCAAACAGAAGGGGTTCCAGACCATATATGGCAGCAATACTCCATGCAAGGGTGAAATGTTGATTTGCGATTTAATTTTTCTTGTGTTCGAACAAGTGTTTTATTTTTCTACACACGGCGTGTGTAGAAACTGTCCAAATGTTCTGTAATTCTAAGTGCTTTCGGCTAAACATATGGCCATTATCAAGGAGGATTTTAGCGTCTGTCTATATTTCTGAGATGAGGTATTATGTACATTATTTACATTATTCGGACTATTGTTCTCCCCTTTGTCGCCATATTTATCACAACGTTTCGGCCGTTGTACGCTCTGGCCTTCTTCAGGTGGCTGGAATGTCCAACTGAACCCTTTATTTCGCTCACTGGGTTAGACTGTTCTAGTTCCACGTGCCATGTTTGATGGATGTCAGTTATCAGTTATCTCCTGCTAATTTCCCTCAAGGACATATGGCACAGTGGATAAAGGCGTTAGTTAGATCCAGTGACAGGACCCAAAGAGTGTGAGTTCAATACCCGGTTAAGGCAGTGGAGAACTTTCAGAGGGAAATTGGCAGGAAATAACTGATAACTGACACCCATTAAACATGGCACGTGGAACTAGAACAGTCTACCCCAGTGAGCGAAATAAAGGGTTCAGTTCGAAATTCCAACCACCTGAAGAAGGTCGGAGCGTACAACGACCGAAACGTTGTGATAAATATGGAGGATTTTAGCTTTGATGTTTATAGAGTTATGATGTTTTATTTTCCGAACACATCACATTGTGGTCGTATTCGTAGTTAATATCATTAAGTGTTGGCTTTTTTTTATTAAGTCTTCCATTATTTTTAATCGTTTTTTTTTATGTGTGTGGATGAGGTGATTATGCTTTTAGCTATCTTCTTAGGGATCTATCTGTGTGTGTACCCATATCTATTGCAGGTATCGGCTCATTTAAGTCTGTTTCTATCTATCTATCTATCTATCTATCTATCTATCTATCTAACTATCTATATATATATATATATATATATATATATATATATATATATATATATATCTTTTCACAGAACCTAATCTAAATTCATTTTTGTTGATATACGAGTAACCTTTCTGTTTAATTCTGTATATATTTGTTGCATTATTAGAAGGTAAAAGCATTCAAACTACATACATACACACACAGACAAACACACACACACACACACATATATATATATATTTAATTGTGTATTTTATACAGTACTCATTGAAGATTACTAACAAGACACTAAAATTAAGAATTGTTATATTTTATATCTTTTTGCATGTATACAAAAAAATTCTCTTTCTCATATAGTGTGTAAGAATTGTCCAAATATTCTTTGGATCCATGCGCTTTCGGCTAATCTACTAACCATTCTCAAATATCGTTTTGTATGTCTTAATATGTAGATTGAGATGCTCATTTATTTTAGCAACAGAAATATTTTAACACACACACACACGCACGCACACACACATATATATATAGAGAGAGAAAAGAGAGTGAGAGAAATAATATTAGTGGTCAATATATATATATATATATATATATATATATATATATATATATATATATATATATATAAATATAAATTCAAACAGGATAGAATCCAGGTAGAACTCAATGACCAGGACAAAGTAAAAATATGATGTCTTTTTTGAATTTGTAGGTCTGATGATTTGGATCAGGATAACGATTACAATGTAATAAATTATAACCAAAGAATATTAGTGTTTGGGCCTTTTTATTATATATATATATATATATATATATATATATATATATATATATATATATATATATATATATACTTGCTTTTATCCACCTATCTTTCTATCTATCTATCATTCACTCTTTCTATCGATCTATATTACGATCTACTTTAATCAGTTCATATCTATCTATCTTACTCTGTTAATATCTCTCTCACTATGAATCTATCTATCTATCTATCTATCTATCTATCTATCTATCTATCTATCTATCTCTTTTGTTCAAAATATATATCCCTATTACTTTCAATGAACGAAATAGAATCTAATGTAAATTCATTTTTTGATTATATTCGAGTAAATTTTTTATTTACTTCCGTAAATTCTTGTGACATTTTTCGTTGGTGAAAAGATATAAACATTCCGAATTCCATTCCGATTCTTTTTTTTATGCTGCAAATTCACAAAAGTGCCATTGCTAAAGGATCCATTAATCTTTCAAATATGCGATAGCAAAGGTACTTATGTTTTTTTTTTAATGGAGCTGGTAAATATTTATGTTATATATTCATATACTCTAACGTGCACACCCACTTCCATCTATCTCTATTCATTATCTATCTATCTATCTATCTATCTATCTATCTATCTATCTATCTATCTATCTATCTATCTATCTCATTCTATTCAATATCTAAGTATATATATATATATATATGTGTGTGTGTGTGTGTGTGTGTCTATCTCATTCTATTCATTATCTATCTATCTATTTCATTCTCTTCATTATCTATCTATCATCTATCATATCATTTTCTTCATTATCTCTCTATCGCATTTTATTCATTATCTATATGTGTGTGTGTATATATATATATATATATATATATATATATATATATATATACCTATTTCATTCTCTTCATTATCTATCATATCATTCTCTTTATTATCTATCTCTCTGTCATTATCTATCTATCTATCTCTCTCCCTCCCTATCTATCTATCTATCTATCTATCTATCTATCTATCTATCTATCTATCTATCATGTCATTCTCTTTATTATTGTATATCATTGTATTCATTATCTATATATATATATATATGTATCTCTCTCTCTCTCTACCTGTCTCATTCTCTTCATTATCTATCTATCTATCTATCTATTTATCTATCTATCTAGTTTATCTATTAAATTAATTCTAGTTAAATTATTTTATGTCGTAAAAGTTACGTAGTTACTCTGTAAAATCCTATCTAGTTTTATCACGGCTATTCATAGTATTTATTTTCCTAATTTTATGAATATGACTTGCATTATGTACGTAACAATTTGGATACTGAAGGAAATGCGAAAGGATTTGCAATGTATTTCTATTTATCCCGTAAATATTAATGGCTAAATTTTTTCCGTAATCTTAAATAGGATCCTATAATTAATTTTTTCTTCTTATTGTGCATAAAATTTCATGAATTCATTTTTATCAGCCAATTTTCGCTAAACAATTATCATAGTTTTAGATCATTATCGATATGGCTTAACGTTACATCAAACAAAGGTAATGTATTGTTTATTTCTCTTTGATCAGTAATTTCTATTTTACGTTTTATGGTATTTAGTTCATATATAAGATAATATTGTTTTTCCGTGATATATTAATACATATTCACACACGCGTGTGTATGTGTATGCTAAGTCTAAATAAAATATCGTTTCATAGGGATAATATATTTTGTTTGATTGCTGAGTTATGAAATATTATTTGTTAAGCGTTCTCCCGGATCTTCAGCGTTTCTCGAAGTAGAATTGTAACTAGCACGTGTTGCCTTGCGATCTCTCATCTAAATATGTAGGATTCCATCGATAAAAACATTATCTTGTCTGAAGAAGTACTTTCGAGAGTCGAAACGCCTAACAGATGATTTTTTTCCATCTTGCCATTCAATTACACAATATGGCAATGGTAAAAATAATTAACATAATGGAAATATTTGGTATTCATTGATCGAGCAGCCTGTGCCGCTTTCAGTTGAAATTTATAAAATCTTCCATTTCAAACAATTTTTCCGAAGAAAATTAGGTGTCTCAGATCCTATAGATGTTATGGCGGGGGGTTCCTTCCTAACATTTTGTTTGAAATAGTGTGGAAGGTCAACACCTTTATAATGTCATTATTTTCTCTTCGAATTACAAGTGCTGCCCATTTTGATGATGTTGAAAATCCTCAAGTGATGAGTTTTGCAAAACCCACATGCATCACCCACCCAAAGCAAATGTTTAACCAGTGATCATAGAAGATGGTTATATACATCTGGCACTTTAGATATTTCTGAACAGGTTTGGTGACATGCAGAAAGTCTCGATCTGACGAGGCTATTTAGGAACATGACTCAAGTTTTCAGTTTAATGTTTTGGTTTTGTAGCAATTGGCGGTATTGAGCGAAACTACCTCTAGCGCATTCTATTCTATGTTTAATTTCCTTATCTCCTATAGTAAATTTGTCATGAATTTTTCCACGCGTCGAGGTATTTGATATGTTTGATTTTTTTCTGTATATATTGTTTTCATATAATTTGATCGTTATAATTGTTATAGATATTTTTGTGTTATTTCTCAAAACCAATAAAATCTTCAACTGACAATGGGTGACAAATTCAGTATTACAAATAAAAGTATCACCCTGTCATTGAATGTTTGACAATGGAACAAAATATGCCACAAGAAATCCATGTCTCTGTAAAAAAAAATATGTCATGTGAATTGCTCTTCGTAGGCAAGGGTAAAATGTCTGACTGCTTAGTACCGTCATCGGAGGATGTGTCCTTTGGAGACGAAAAGCTGTTAGGCCGGCTTTTGAAAGCAACCTCTACTGAAACATGTCTACGAGTGCTACATTTTAACAGTAACTTTCGTTTTTGGCAGTCATCGACGACAACGGTTTCGCTCACCAGGCATTACGGGCGCGAAGTATGGTTAGATATCTAGCAGAATTACAACCTGAACAATTTTGTAGCGTCAAAGGTCTTCTAGTACAATGTTATGTATGCAGCGAGTACGGAGATGATACCACATCACTAGGCGGAGGGCTTCTTAGACTGAAGTCAGTAGCCTGGGTGAAGGGCTTGCCGCTAGAATCAATGGCCATATGTCCGTAAGAAAGACGAGCTAGAGGGACATGGAGAGAGCTGGGTCCCGTAATGTTTCCTTACTAAATACCCGCGACATATGAACGAATATCTCTCCGAATTTCAGCCTAGATATGTGGAGGAAGCTCTTTGGGTGCACAGATGCACAGAAATCCTTTGACCACACCCGGTCATGGGGATGATGTTGAGATGATGATGGTGATGATGGTGATGATGATGAGGATGAAGATTTATTGCAAAGTAAAATCATTTCTATAAATTGAAATGAATTAAAAATATATATTTTCTATCAAATCAATAAAAAATTTTGATTCAAACCTTTTTTGAAAACATTGTGAATGGGTGGACATTGTGAATGTGTGGCCTTTATCTATTCTTTCATAGAATATTAAACCTTACAATAATTATTAAACTCTCAGATGCCGCCTACTTACGTATGACAACCATCTTTATTAATATCAACTTTCACTTTTGCTTTCATTCTCAGACATATTTTTACTTTCACTTTCATTTTCACTTTCAGTTGCTCTTTTTCAGTTTTTTTTTCATACGCACGTACAAGCTTTAGACTGAAACGTTTGTGTCTTCGAAGATTTCGTCGTTTTTTGATTTTTTTTTCTCACTGTCACCCTCAACGCAGTTTTATATCATCTTTCAATTCTGTTTCATCTTTTCTGGTGTCTCAGACGCGTTTGAATTTTATACATTTAACTCCTGTTTTTTCTCCGTCTATCTCGTTTTATCTTGATCAAAATATAGTGTAAATCTTAATGATATTGCATATCTATTAGTTACACCACCTTCTTCAGTATATATTATTATTTTCATTATTTTTTGGCACATTATTTTTGCTTTCAACAATTGCGTTATGGGTATTCTCCATCAAATCGTATGACATATACATAGAGTGCTTTCACAGATTATTTACAGTGCTAAGCAACAGAGATTTCTAAAGCGACAGGAAATAAGCCTTCATTCCAATTTTCTCAATGTAGGACTTTAAGTTCAGTGGTATAAATCCTTAATGATATCTGCGACACTAGTGGCTTGAACTTTTCCATATTCTGGCAATTTCAATACGAAGGACGGTGTATTTCTTAAGCTTATGATTATTGCTTTATTTCCTTTAATTTCTGGCGTGCACACATTTTTTCCGGGTCTCGTCCAGAGATCTAAGATCAGAAATGGCATCTGAAAAGAAAAAAATAATCACACGAATTTTACATAGACAAAGCCATTCGTAAGGTGGGGGCTGTACTCGTGAGAAAAAAAATCTTTTGTATTTCTTTAAGGCATGGACTTCCAGGAATCCCTCCGATGAATTTACTGGAATTTTTTTCAACCAATCGGAGGACTCCAACTCGAACTGCAAACGTTGATTTCCTCATGTGCCACATTTCTGAGATTTCGATTTCAAGGTCCTTGTATTTTGATAGTTTTTTGAAGATCTTCAAATATACATTGCAGTCTGCAGGGACTGCCATGTCAATAAGGAGACACTTTTTTTTGTTTGTGGCCTCTAATCACGTAATCTGGGCGATCAGCGTTTATTGTTTTGTATTGTGAAATCCCATAGAATTGTTACAGATCCTATCTCCGTAACTGGGTCTGGGTGGTGTTCATACCAATATTTTGCAGTTTCCTTCCTGTAAAAGTTGCAGATTTTCCAGTGCAGATATTGGCCCACTATTTCGTACCGCGTTTTATATTCAGTTGGTGCCAATACCGCGCAACTTGATCCAAGATGGTCAATTGTTTCTAGATATTTTTCACAGAATCTGCATTTTGGGCTAACACAATTTTTCAGTTTGTCTGCTTGGTAATTTTTACTTAGCAAGCATTAGTCTTGTGCAGCAAGAATATTATTATTATTATTATGCCTTTTCTTTGTTTAGCATGAGTTGGCTCCAACTCTCAACCAGAAACTCCAAGAGACATGTTTTGTATCATTTGTGATGTTAACGCTCACCCGTTCTAACTCTCGTTAGGTCAATGAATGCTCGTTATCACTTCCGAAATTCTCGTTGTAAACGAGACTTTAGAATCGGAGACATTAATAATAACGCCTTCAAATAATGCTCGCACTGATAATACTTGTTCAAATAGTAATCCCCGAATAGGAATTCGTATAATGATCCGTATAGAGAAATAATATAGAGGATAGAATAGAGAATAGCAATCACTTAGACTTCACGGTAATTCCCATTTATATGTTCCCTTTACGATCACGTGACCTACCTGTTTAATAATGAAATCGTCCCTGTTTGCTCTCTGGTGATCTGTGTTTAAAATACGGTGTCGGCAACGACACTTTATTCCTATACAACAGTATCCGAATATACAACCGTCCTGGGTAAGACGATAAACTATATTCCGGTCCTAGGTAAGACGATAAACTACACGCTCGTTCTGGGTAAGACGATAAACTACATTCCCGTCCTAGGTAAGACGATAAACTACATTCCCATCCTGGGTAAGACGATAAACTACATTCCCTTCCTGGGTAAGACGATAAACTACATTCCCGTCCTGGGTAAGACGATGAACTACATCCGCGTCCCAGGTAAGACGATAAACTACATCCACGTCCTGGGTAAGACGATAAACTACATCCCCGTCCTGGGTAAGACGATAAACTACATGTTCGTTCTGGGTAAGACGATAAACTACATCCCCGTCCTGGGTAAGACGATAAACTACATGTTCGTTCTGGGTAAGACGATAAACTACATCCCCGTCCTGTGTAAGACGATAAACTACATTCCCATCCTGGGTAAGACGATAAACTACATGTTCGTTCTGGGTAAGACGATAAACTACATTCCCGTCCTGGGTAAGACGATAAACTACATTCCCTTCCTGGGTAAGACGATAAACTACATGCCCGTCCTAGGAAAGACGATAAACTACATCCGCATCCTGGGTAAGACGATAAACTACATACAACAGCAAGGCCTCTGATCGAGAGGTTATGAGGAGCTTAGAACCACCTCTTAATTGCTGGTGTTCCCAGGTTCACTCTGATATGGGGTGGTAGCACCTGTTAGGGTCC